TGGATCAGTATTATTTTTGTGTTATCTTGAGAAACAGGACCCTCCTCTTTCCTATATATCCATGGCTGGTTGTACACACTGGACAGGAGAGCAAGGAATGGAAATCATCTGCCTGTGGCACAAATTTAATCAATTTGGTCTGTAAATGAAGGAATGGTAGTCCTGCCAAGTCAGGCTGTGGGAGCTCTGCATCACGGTGTTTGCTCTGTGTCAGCTAACTCACAAGGTATTGCCTCAGATTCCCACCTCTAAGTCTGGATAAAAGTAGTCTTCCTCGCCTGTGTGTCCTTCTTGTCTTTCCAGATTATCCCTTTTTACTGTCTTGTAGTGCCATACAGGCAAGCCACGGGTAACTGGGTATTTCAGCTTTTCAGCATTTATCAAAATAACCATATAAAGTGGTTATCTTGATATACTGCGGAGAGAACAGAATGTCCCTGGAGACACGATGCACCCTGGCTGGCAGGGGGGCTTCCCCTGGAGAGCACTTTGGGGGCAATTCAAAACTGACTGTCAGGCTCCTGCTCAGAGCCACCTTTGGGGACAACATCTCCATGTTCATGGACTAGAAAGGAGAAACCAACTGGTTAAGCGGAGAGCCTGAGACTGAACGGTATGACTCTCCCCATCTCCTTCTTCAAAACTGAAGGAAGTGGGAAAAGCACATTCAAAATAAAAACAGCTGCTGCCTTCATCTCACTGATTTTCCCAAGGGGAGCTCTAATGGCTTCTGACTTTGCTGGGGCAGGAGGCCTACTTTGCGCCGGCATTTCTTTTCCTGACGAGAATAATGTACCGGCTGCAGAAAGCGCTGCGGGGCGGGAAGGTGCACGAGTGGAGCTGGGCCGCGGCGGGAGCGGCTGCTGGGCAGAAGGGAGAGAGGAGCACCTGGTCCCACTCGCCGTGGGTGGGTTCCCCCGGGGGAGCTGTGTGCTCGGCGCTAACACAGCTGGCGGTTCCCCCAGGCCGGGGGAGCCAGGCTGCCCCCAGCTGCGGTTCGGTGGGGCGCGGTGCTGCTGCGCTGGGGGGGCTGCTGGGGAGCAGGGAAGGGGGAGCCCCGGGGCAGGCAGGCAGCGGGCCTGGCTTGGGGCCCGCCTTGCAGCAGGGCTGGTGAGAAAAGCTGCTTCCTCCTGTATCTTCCCTGCCATGACAGAGCTTAGCTCTTCGCCCTCCTGGGCAGAATGAAAGGAGGAACCCACGTTTCCTCAGCGCTTCAGGCCTCCGCCAGCGTCCTCTCACCCGGGCAGCAGCACCGGGGAGCCCCTCAGCTGCTCTGACCCGTGGGCAAGGCCAGGGGCTGCATGCGGGAAGCTGACCTGGCCCTGAAGCCGTGGAGTAGCCTCAGGTTGGGTGTGATTTTGCAGAGAAAAACCACTGAAGCCTCCTTCCTCCATGGTTTCAGCAAAGCCATTGCATTAAATCCAGATGGGGGAAGGAAGTGTGAATGTCCCTGGGGAGAGAGAAAACTCCACAAGTCAGACGATTTACAGAAACAGATGTGGGCTTGCACGCTATGCGTGTGGAAGCGTTTGCGGGTAGGAGAGGGCTGCCCCTCAGCCCCTGGGGCTGCTGAGCAGGGCTGGACAGCCCTGCCGGGCTCTGCCCGGGCTCTGCCGGCCCCAGCCCCTGCCCGGTCCTGCTCTCTGTGCCCCGCAGCCCTGGGCACTGTCTCCGCGCCACACGCCGGCCCCGCCGCTCTCACCCTCTCCCTGACAGCTTCAGGGCTGCACGGCCACTCTGTGCTCCTCGGGGCTGCGAATATCTCCCAAGAGCTCCGGCAAAAAAACCCAACAGTGGGCAAATGCAGAAGAAATCTTGTTCCCTCAACAGGCCAGATGGGTATTTTGGGGATTAGTACCTGATTTTGGGGAAGAAGATTGAATTTGTTCTCAGTGGTGTGACTGCTTTTATGCTAAACTGTCTCAGAACAAGAGACGGGGGAATTAAGTAATCCTCAGTGCAGTTCTTAAACACGCTTCCCTTTCAAGAAAGAGGAAGTAGGTTTTCATATTGCCCTGGAGGAAAGCACTTCCCATACATTGTCCTGACCGACAGTTCTGCACTGGCGTCATGGAAGGAATTGTGCTAGGAAGTTAGCACACTGGTTTTTGCTTATCAGATACCAAGAAAAAAAAAAAAAAAAAAGTGAAAAAAGGTGTGTAAATGTTAGTTTTGTCACACAGCATATGTTGCTGACAACCCAATCTCAAGAGGAATATCCCAGAGAAATAGGTAATCAGTAACCCATACACATTGAGAAAACATACAAATGTATTAAAGAGTAGTTCTGTAGTTAAGACTGCAAAAGGCTGTGGACTCAGAAAGTGGGGAAATCTCTGCCTGCCTTGTCTGCACAAGTGTATGGGTTTAATGTATGGAACAGAGCTATATCAGTCTTGAAAAGTGCCTGGATAAATGTAGATGCCCACACCCAAATATTAGAACCAAAACCAAGTTTTATCATCATTTGCACAACTCGGGGCTCTCTGTTTTGGGCCTGAGAGGTCTGTGCTGCTCAGGCGTGCCCAGGTCTGAGTCACTCAGTGCTTTGTGCCCATCTCAGCACCACCTACACCCAGAAACTGGGTGTCACAGGGTCAAATGCCCCCGAGCAGGGGTAGCTGGAGGGCTGCTCTGTGCCGGCCTGAAGCATAGGGCAAGCCTGTCACTGAAAGCAGCTCCATTGCTGTGTTCCAGGGGGGACAGCTCTGCTTTTGCGGGGCAGACGAAAGCTCTCCTTGGCCAGCTCTACCGGCTAGGCGTGCGGGCAGTGCCCAGGCTGCGGCTGCCCCATGCTGTCCCTCTTCCTCCTGGTGGCTCTCACGTGGCCCTGCCAGGTGCCGGATGGCAACCAGCAGAAAAGGTGGCTGGAGGTGGCACCTAGCGGGCGTGAGGCCCGTGCCCACGACGGCGGGGATCGGCAGCCGTGGCCCTGGCTCCCTGCTGGCAGCACCCCACCTCTCCCGCTGCACCAGAGCTGTGTCAGCTCCCGCGGCACGTCCTGGGGAAGAGGCAGTGCCTCGGGAAGAGGCTCAAAAGCCGCTTCGAGTTAGGGGTTGAAATTTGTAACTTGCTCTGTAACTCAGGAGGGAGGCGGGAGGGGCCGTGGAAGCGGGGGTGGCATTTAAGGCATGCTCCTGCATTTAGGCTTCTCTGTCAGGCAGGCTCCAGCCTCAGTGTGCTGGAGGGCTTTGCTCACCCTCTGAAGACCTCTAGTCCTCCCCACATGATGCTCTACATGCTTCAGCTTGTGACACTGTGAAACCAAAACGGAGGGGTGCCTAAATATTACATTAGCTTGCTGAGGAACCAGACCCTAAATTCATCAAGGCAAAGTATTTAATAGTGTGAGAGTTTTACCAAAATCCATGTAGGAACTGCTTGTGAAACTATATTTTCATTTCCTCTTTCAGATTTAGTTCTCTGACAATGACTAATGCTGCACAAGTTGCTGTGCATGGTCTACTTAGAAACTTTAGCAGTGCTCTCTGCCATGTTGTGAGGAAGCTTCCCTTTCTCTGAGGTATCTATTCCTGGGAAGGGAGTGCTTTCACCCACGGGTTGAAATGGGTCTGGACAACCTACTTGATTTCACCTGTACTGCCCAGGACCCCGAGGGAAAGCAAATAGCCACATCCCAGTTTTCCGAACACACAGCTGGCATCTTGTCCATATGTGTTTTTCCTGACTCCCTTTGAAAATGTTAACAAAAAAAAAATTAGGCTCCATTTTAACCAAATAAACACACTGCTTGTGTGTTGTTTATATCTCTGGTGCAATGCCTAGACATAAGCAACAATTAGATTTGTTTTGTATAATATAATGATCATCTAGAACAGGAGAAAAGGTTGTAGGGCTAAATGCAATGGGTATCAGGAATGTCATGGTTTACTTCCTGAGCATTGTGTATATGATATGATTTGAGGCCAACTAAAATCAGAGCTGAGTGAATCTGAGAACAAAAAGGAAATCAGGCAAGGGAGGGGACAGGAATAGCTTCCTTCCTTGATCTCAAACCCCTTCCTAACATTAGCAGCCTGCTGGTTTCTCTAAGTGTGACAGAAATCAGTGGATTAAGAGACAAATGTGACCCTCATTGTAAACTAGGCCCTGTCTTTACATGACAAAACCTGGGATAATGTTATTTTACATAATTGGTCATAAACCCTTGGTTACTTGAAGTTGAAGACTTTATTTTTTGCTGTCAATTTAGTTTTCAATGAAAAAATAATTTGTGACCTTCCACTCCACACCCATAAATATTTTCCACAACAAAGTGTTTGTTTTTGAAAGTCCCAGATAATGACTCATACTGAGTTTAAAAAAAAGGAGAAGCAACGTATTTTTTAATGTATTAACAATAGTCTCTTAGAGCCAGATGTTCCCCTTCATTGCACAGCATGAAGAGGTGAAAAGGGACAGAAAAACTGCAGTAAGAAAAAAAAAATAAAAGCAAGGATCAAGAGAAATGTATCAGGCTGCAATATTACACCTAACTTTGGAATTGCCTATTGTGCAGAGAGCATGGGGCTGAGGGTCTTTTCGTGGAGTTCCAGGTCACTAGGAAGTGAAGTCATGGAGCAAGTGGATGAATCATGTGCATCCCTAAGAAAGGTATCAAATTTTTATTCAAAAAACCGCAAAAGAATAGAAGAAGCAAAAATAAATCTGACATTCAACTATTTTTTGGGAAGTTATTAGGTCAAAATACTCCAGGAAGCACAGTGGAGGGAAATGGGTGGAAGTCAGGACATGTTAGAACACATTTCTTATTCTACAGTCTTTGTTTTTAGCTGAGCTTGCTTGATTAAAAAGTTGTTTATGAAGTATTTTACAGACGGATGCGCTCTTTATCCAAAATACAAACTGCTTAGCCAGATGGCCTCACATCTGGATTAGTCTACAGCACAAACCGGAATAGAGTAGTTGCATTTTTAAGCAACTGCTATCTGTAGCAGACCTAAAATGGGTGATGATCACTGAAGACATTTATATCAATATAATTTGCGAATGGTGTTTATTTCTCTACTTCTGAGAAGCCGCAGAGTTCTGGTGGAAACATTTCAGAATGTTTGGGTGTCTGATTTTCTTTATCATGATCGCAATGGAAACTTATTGCCTGATTGCATGCACTGGTATTGGGAAACCCAAACCTAGTTAAAAACAGAAGAATAGGTGTTTAATGTGAAAAATAAGTAATACAAGTTCTCACATAAACTGATAATTACCAAAAATCTTGTCTCAAACTAAAAAGAAGTTTGAAGCTTTTAAGAATATAGTATTCCAAAAATGCCTTCTGTGAGACACCCTTCCTTACCTTCATCCCTGTTGATAATGAACTGAATTAGTTTAATTTCATAGGGGAAAGAAACAAATTGATTCCCCAGCCTAACTCTGCAGCACTGTTCTGCAAGCTTTGTATCAGCGGGTTTACAGCATGTTTACACAGGTTATAGTCTTTCAGTAGCTATTTATATTTTTGGCACAAACTGCCTTTCATCTACACATAAATTATCTTTTTGTTTCCATTTTGCTTTATCTTGTAATTTATTCTGTTGTTTTTTAATAATTCTTGGAAGTGGTATGACTTTCTCTTGGAATGTATCATACTGTCATAATGTTAATGTGGACAAGTTTGTTATCTGTCTTCAGAGAGTTCCCATCCTGCAAAGAACACAAAATGCATGGCTTTAGATCTGGATCAGGCAGCCTGTTCCTACTGCTTCATGACTAGAGATGGTTTGAAACAGCTTTACTGAGCCCAAAATATTTTTCTGAAAAGGACTTGGGTTCCATTTCACTGCCTCCAGGGCTGGTTTTGAGGCTGTTGGGGAACCCACTGCTCATGCCTCTGGCTGAGGAGTGGACAGCCCACTGCGCTGGTCATCGGGGCCGCTCGTGTTTATCTGTGGGGCAGCTCTCCTGCTCTGCCAGGGCTCTTGGGCTGCTTCAGGAGCATGGGACACGAATGCCCTCCCTGCAGCCTGATTGCCTGGTCTTCCCAAGTGGACAACCTCTTCTGCTCACAGCTCCTGGAGTATAGACCATAGACCTGGTCTTTGAAACCCTGAAACTATCATCAGAGCTTTGCTTCCAGTGTTGTGGTGGGAAAGCTGGAAGTGATGAGAGCCTGGCCAGCTCAAGTTGTCTGTGCTGGGAAAGGTGGGAGTTCCCACACCTGTGGTTCCTCCTGCTCAGCCTCCTTGTGCTGGTGGAAGACACGTGTATGCTACTGAGATGATACTGGCCAATCCTAACCAATGCTATTGGGGAATCCTCACTGAGTTATGACAAATCCCTATAAACCAGTCTTGAATCAGCCCAAAAGTGCCCGCCTTGGGTTTTGCACAAGGTTAACTAAACATGTACACTGTCTTTTTTCTAAAGGCAGGGCCACAGTCCAGCTTGCATAAAAATATCCCAAGTCTCATTCATGCTACTGGAGTGTGAATCGCACGTAGCACTGCTGGGCAGTTGTCAGTCTGCACCTTTTTTCCTGGCATGTATAGGAGTTTCTGGGCTGTGCTATGCCATTAGCTGCTGTAGCCGAGAGGAGGTGGCTGTAGGAGCAGCACAGTGCAAAGAAAAGGCTTTCTGCAGCCTGGAGGTTTTGCCTCCCTCCCCCGTCTTCAAGGTTTTTACATCTGCTCCCATAGTCACCAAAGAAAGACATACACACTCATATACCAGCCCACAACAAAACCCACACAGGCAGAGCTGAGGAGCTCTCACCAGGAAGCTGACTTACCCTAAACCACTCCGCTGTTTCTCGTCACACTACATCTGGGTCTGCTGTCACTGCTGCCTCCGGATGAGCTAGACCCAGTTGCCAGGACTCATTTGGCCTGTATGTGAAGTGGTCTCTGGTTATCTCTTGAGGGTTTTTGAGCTTTTTTTGTCTCAAAAATATAATTGTTCTAATCTGCTAAAAAAAGAAGTCCATCTGAAAAAGCCAAGAACCCCGAACGCCACTCTTCTTTTTTCTTCCCCTGACTTACGTAGAATAGTTGACTTCCGTAACGTTTATTTCCAACAGCCACTTTCAGCTTCCTGCGTGTGGTGAGTTCTTTACATTTTCTTTTTTTTCTAAAAGTCTTAATGTGAATTGATATTCTGAATCAAATTCAGTATCTTTAGCTTTATTTTTATTAATAAGTTTGTAAAATTGATTCACATAATCAGTTTTACTTTTAATACCTTTTGTTAAATACTCAGTATTGTGACTCCCTGTTAAACAGTGGTCTAGTCCTGCCCCAGATTGTGTATCTTCTGGATTTTAATTTGTTCTAGTTTGTTTCCACTTTAGCATAAAAAGGCCTTATATAAAAGTAGAAAGAGCAGCGTGATGGGTTGTGCCATGCCAGTCTTTTCCGCATTAATTGATGTAAGAAAAAAAGAGAGAAAATGAGGATTACTCTAAAGACGGTGGGTCTGATTCTGATCCCCTTTGCTGTTGTACAAACGATGAACTCAGGAGAGATAGGCATGTGTAAACCTGTAATGCCCCAAAGGACGGCTTTCTTCCCCATTTGTAAAGTGCATCATGGTTATGAGAAAACTGTTCTGCTTCACCTTAAACGTTCCCAAGCAAATTTAGATGAAAATTTTATTGTGAGAATTTGAGAAAGGTGAAATTTATGTTCTTAGGACTGAAGTGAGATACAAATGATTTTTAATTTGGCAATGTATCTGTCACTGGCTCTTGTTCCAGCGGCTGCCGGGCCCTGCTGGGTCTAGCAAGCGCCTCTGCCACCTTCTGAGATGGAAGGTCTTTGTTTGCCATCTAAATGGCCGCGGTTGTAACTCTTTGCATTCATCTCACTCTCGGGGCTTCTTCTCTGCTTTCTGAGCCAACCGTGGCATGCTCATGGTGTGGGATCCCCTTAGTGTGCATGCATGTGTGCACATCTGTGCACACCCATTTCTAGATTCTGCTTACAAAACCTGCATCTTACAGTGATCTAGCAGCAGTGGGATGGTCTCATCACACTGCCAATAAGAGGTAGTTGATCTAGAAGGTGAATGAGGAGGGAACCATCCCTCTGACACAAGTCCCTGCAAAAAATCTGAATGTAGCTTTAAGATTTTCTAACTTCTTCTTTCAGCTGTGTTTCCACCTGTGGATGGGGCGGGAGTGGGGCTGCGCCATCTGGAGAAGGCCGGCTTTGACACAGGATTTATCCTAAAGAAAATACTTGCAGAGGAAAAAGGTAGGATAAATGGGATTAGTTAGCTGTTAGCAGGCACATCTGTCAACATTTTCTTGGTGTCATCAAATGCCTATCTGCTGCTGCTGTCAGAATAAGGTGGGATTGTGCTGCTTTGTATTTCACATTTCCAAAACCTCCTATTTAGATCAGTGGGTGTTTATAAATGTTCCAGAAGAAAAGACTGTACACGTGGACTTACTTGGCTTTAGAACAGGGTTTAATCTCATTTTTCAGAGACAGGTCTGAAGATGTATCATACAAGTGAAGTCCAATTTACCAGAGAAGGTGGGTACAGACTTGATGTGAGTACCATATTTGAGACTTGGTCAGTAACTGCAGGGTAGAAAAGCCCCATGTGCACTTGCTTCCTGCTAAATTGAGAGAGTAGGCCTTGGTGGGGTGTAATAGCAAGTTTTATATACAGTAGACTAGGTGCTGCAAACCAGGAAAAACAGTAGTTTTTTTTTTATAGATAATCTGTGTTTTTATAAGTAATCTGTATTTACTGTCTAAATTCCAGCGCAAAGAATTAAAATTTTAAAAATGGGCTTGATTTTCATGTATAGTAAAACACAAATTCATAGCCCATCAGCAGGGCAAAGTGGCTGTAAATTACTGTCATTTAATCACATTTTAAGGGAATTTATCATGCCAAAGTAGTATGAGATGGTCTCATGGCAGAAGAGCATCAGGCCTCACTTGATTGCCTATATCAGAGGACCCATGTCTACATGCAGCACAGTAAAACCATGAAGCTGGAGGTCTACTTCCAGAAAGTTACTAAAAATACTTTTCCAGCCTGGTGACCAGTTTTCTGAAGAAAATGTTTATATGTAGAAGTTTAACAGGCTCTGGCTCAGTTGCTCCACTGGGAGTGTGAATTTGGGGATGAAATGCAAGTCCTCTCCCTGCTGCATAAACCCAGCAACTAAGAGACATGCTGAAGTCACATCAGCTGGTAACAGCTGCCAGTGCCAGTGATATCAGGAATCTCTTGTACAGCAAGGGGCAAACCATATAAATCCTTAAAGGTGTAACTGGATGCTTTGCAGTATACCCAGAGCACACAGGAAACAAGCAGAAATTGTGGCTGTGGTCTTGCAGGTCTGGCTTGTCCTGTAGAGAGTTGGGTCTGCACCAGCAGAAGCTCCCGAGGAGTTTTTCTTGGTGACACTTTCTGATAACAAGCCAGGGGGACATCCAGGCAGGGAGATGAACTTCTGCTGTTTCCTCTTCTTGCTTTTGCTGTGCAGCTCTAGATGCGTAGCAGCAGCTGGGTTAGGGGCTTTAAATGAGAAGGATTTTCAGTTAAAAACGCCTCTTCTCTCTGAAGCAAATATCCCCCATTTTATCTGTAAAATGTTGGTGCTGTGATTCTATAATTTTAATTAAGAAACAGCCAAAGATTACTGAATGCACTGTTCAAATGATTAATTCAATTTGGCATTGACCATACAATGAAAAATTGCAGAATTTTTTATTAAAATTTCTGGTTTTGTTTATGGTTTGAAAAGAAATAGAAGAAGTATCTGTGAAACTTGCCTTTTTCAAAGTCTTAAGGTGGCATGTCAGGCATGACATTACACAGCTTAACGTCATTTCCAAATTAGGTTCTTACTTTTTGGCCAGTGGTGTGTGGTTTTATAAAATCAGCAGTTTTCAAATGTTTCCATGCTATGAGCACAGTTTACATCTGAAAAATATCTTTGGATAACCCCAGCACAGAAATTAAGAAAGGTAGTTGGCTGTTGGCTGCATCTGTCTCAAGCCCACTATTAAAGCATTATGGCTTTAAAATACTGGACAGGATCACATAAACACAACAAAGTGACAGAACAACAAAATTTGTGGGCTGTAGCCTACCATTAGCTCTTCTCCACAAAACCAAATACAGTTTCACATGTGCTTAGCAGAATTTAGTCATGCTTCAGTTCTTATGTCAGTGAAGAACTGGAAAACCTTCCTAATCCACCAAAAGCATTGATTTACAGCAGAAGGGGAGACATTTGGAGCCAGTGAAACCTCTGTAATGCAGCAGTGAGTGTGAGCACTGAAAGTCATGGGTACAAAACCTTGGTGTGTCATGTCTAAAATGAATAGCTGCTGAAGTAGTGGGGAGCAAGAGTCACAGCTGGGGGCTGTGCCGGGGGGATCGCTGTCGGGGCTGGCACGGCAGCTGGAGGACAGCTGGGACCATGGTTTGAACAGTTACTGCGGGTGTGTGTTCCTCGCAGAGCTGGTACGGAAGTATTTGCTTGTGGCTGTGCCCTGCATTTGTTGCAGATTCTTTGATCTCTCCCACCCTGCACAATCGCTTGCCGCTGTGTCTGCATCGTGTTTCTTTTGCACAAGGAGTCGCATTTGGTCCTTGGTTACAGAAGCCAAGAAGTGTAAATTCCTAGGAGGTGAGGGTGGGGGTGAACTTGGCACGCTTGTCTTTACCTGATGAATTGTATGAACCCGCTGGAAACCACATGAGGATTCTGCTATGGTTTGGGGGTTTCCCCAGCGGGGGGCCGTGGTGCCTTATCGCATAGGAAAGACCCAGCGTGTGCTGGAAAGGGAAGGAACACCTCTCCTGGCAGAAGCCGGCACGAAGGGCTGTGGTTACGTGCCATGCACGATGCCACTTGTCATACACAAGCGTGAGCGTGGAGTACCAGTCTCAATAACTGACACTTGCCCAGTTTGAGGTGGTTGTACCATCTGGTGATATCTCTTTTCCCCGTGAGTGACAGTGAGTTGCTTCTGAAGGTTATCCTGGTTTATGTCAGACTACAGATGAGACCGGCTCTCCTAATATAAAAGTGTGAGACCAAGACCTCTACGTAGTTAGGGGTCTGTTTTGGTTGTCTCCTGGGCACATCGTCATTGAAAGAATATGAAACCTCTCACTCTTGTAAAAAAAAAAACATTCTTTTGTTGACAGTTTGCAGCTTGCCCTTTTTTTTTTTTTTTTTTTCCCATTAAATGACTGTGCTTAAAAACTGGTAAAGTCTTTAGAGTTCACAGTTTTTGAATTAATGACATACTGAATTATCTGTTAACTTCCTCTCATCATCCGTGTGCTTGTGTTATATCATAAAACATCTATCTTAAAAGTCCCTCCTGTAAGTTCTTTTGTTTCCATCAATTTAAATGCAGGCTTTTTAAATTTGTGTATCTTTTAGTGGAGTTTTAATTCTGGATGAAAAGCTGTTGGGTAAAATATCTCTGAGTTTGAATCCAGTTCACCAGGATTCAAAAATAAAGCATGGGAAATGTTCTCATAATGTTAAAACATAACTCTCCTAAAATATCTCTATTTTCAGATGTGTGATCATTTTCATGCAAAATATATAAAAATCAAGAAAATAAAACTTTCAATGCTTTCCACTGAAAAATAGAAACTGTGCATTAAGATTTACCGTAGCTTGCGGATTTGCATGATCTTTAAACCAACTGTAAGCCAAATAGATGTCAGATTTATGTATCTGAAATGGCTTCTCAAAATACTGAGCTGAAGAATGAGTGAGAAGGATTTATATATTACTTTTGGTGGTAAAGAGTAGAGGCTTTTCTCCTCTTAACCTGTTCCATATGACCCAGGGCTGCCTGCAGTATTACATGTTTTATATAAAAGTGACAAGAGATTAAGGTTATACTGGAATTGGAGAAAAGTAAAGGAAAACAGGCCCAGAAATATATACTCTGCTCTGGGATATGGTTGGTGTAAGATATAAATCAGTGTAAAATCTGAACTACCAGGTATAACTTGTACTAATTCCAGATAAAAAAAAAAAATAATCTTGACAGCATGTTCATTTGAAATTGGGCTTTATTCATAACTATGCATAGGATGTAGGCAATTTGATGTAGGCAAGTAGGCATGTCCATTTATCGTGATTAATTTAATTTATTACAATTAAGGAATTCTAGGGGGGCTACATAGTGAGAAAAAATATTTTCCTATCTGTCCTGCAAATACATGTTAACACTTATTTTATCCTTGGGCTGGGTACAGTGCATGAATACTGAATTCTGGGATATATTGTGGAAGGCAACTCTTTTTTAATTTATAAAACGAATCAAAAGGATAAAGACCTTAAATCAACAAATACAGGAAAAGTTATGATACTTGTATGTTTTATATCACACTTTCTACTTGCGAGTGATTATCTCCAAGCAAGCCCTCCAAATTTTTAACATTTTAATTTACATGCATGCACACAGAAAATTTAAGAATGAATTAAAAAAGATGGCAGTTTCCCTCTGGCTGAAATCTAGACTATGATTTCAAACAGTCTAATATATACAGAGGCAAGAAAAAGCTTTTTGTTGCTGGCTGTTCTAAGGGGAAAAGCTAAAATTGTCAGCGAGTTTCTCAGTGTTACAAAATAAATAGCCAACCGAATTATTGTTGCTTATTTTACTGGCTTTGCTCATTAACTCGGGAAGTTTAACATTCATTATAGCAAAACTGAACAGTGACATGCAGTAAATACACATTCTTCCCAAATAAAAAAAAAATCAATATATTTTAGCAAGAAGTCATTGTTGTGAATTGTTTGATCAACTGAAGCATCATTATTTGCTGCTCAATACACTTATACATTCAACACATTTTATTCTTATCACAAAATATGCAAAAATTATCTTCCATCAAACATTGGCTAATTCTGTTCTAACTAATATTTTCCTCCTCCACTTTTACCTCCCACTGAAATCAAACTTATGCAAATGCATAACTTAATGAACATAGAGAACCTCCTTCTCATCCCCCTGAGGTTAGGGTGGGAAGATCTGGGCTTGAGAGTCTCCTTATCTTGTGGTAGGCATTTTACAAAACCAGAGCAAAGTTAAATCTGAATAGACCTTGGAGATCTTGCGAAGGATCCATGGAGGGCAGTGGAGAAATGGTAGGACAATTTTTTTAACGACTTTTTAACATTAATTAAGAAGAGTGTTATATCATCTGTATCGTTCATACGTTAGCTTTTAGCTATACTGTTAATATTGAT